ATCATGACTCACGAAAATGTAAGAATTATCAATCTACTTATCTTCTTGGAAGGACCTTTAAATGAAGTGCAAAACATCTGTAAAAGTACTTAATAAAATTAAATGTAAATTTACACCTTTTTACAGATTTTTTAAGTACAATTTCTTACTGGAATGCTAACCAGAAACATAGTATCTAAAAGAAAAATGTTGAAGTGTGAGAAGAACCAAGATGGTGGCATAGATAAATGCCTATACTCGCTGCCTCCCACAACCCATCAAAATTACAACTGAAATACAGAACAACTATCATTCAGAACCACCTGAAAGCTGGCTGAATGGAAGTTCTACAACTAGAGAAGTAAAGAAGAAAGCACGTTGAGACTGGTAGGAGGACAGAGGCGTGGAATGGGCTGGTCTGACACCATGTGTGTGCCATTTCTTTAATTGGGAGGGAGATCATCTCAATGGAGGCCTCCCTTGAGGAGCAAGGGATCCTAGCCCCACACCAGACCCCCAGCCCAGGGTTCCAGAGCTGGGAAGAGAAGTCCCTGTAACTTCAGGCTGTAAAAACCAGCAGGGATTGTGGCTAAGGGACACGGAGGCCTTCTCCCAGACAGGTATTCTTGCAGGGGTCATTGTTCTTGTGCTGGGACCTCCCCTATCACAGGGCTGACCAGCAACCAGATGGGAGTCTCCATCAGCCTAGAGCACACTGTTTGCTCTGTCCTTGGGATTTCTTGAGACCCCCGCCTCATCCAATTCACAGCCCCACCCAAGCTGTTTGGAGCAGCTTTTCCATATGAATGGCCTGTCCTGGCTCAGGCTTCAGACTTTGCTAAAATTTCTTAAACAAGCTGCAGCTGGTGACAGCATACCCCAAGCCTATCAATAAAAGGCCCAAGACCTGCCACTAGCACCGGCCTGCCTTGCATTACAGCTGGGCCTCCAAACCCAATACAAACTGCAAATAGCCACCATTTGCAGATCCCTCTGTAGCTCCTGCCAGGGGGCCCCAGGCAGTGGCTGACTTTGCACCTCCCTGGTGACCCTAGAGCCAGTGCACCCATGGACAGCTTCAGACCATAGCAGATTACAGCTCTACACAGCCACAAGTGAGACTCTCAAGGGGCAGACTCAGTGAGCACCAAAGCCCCACTGAAGCAAGTCCTGCCCCATAAGAGTGTCTCCTGCACAGCAGCTCTCCCACTGTAGTTGCAGCTGGTCCTCATAGCCAATTGGGCTGGGAGGTCAATCCCTCCCTTTGATGCCAACAGCAGTCAAGGCTCAACTACAACAACACTGTGCACACAGTCCACACAGGGTCACACCTAGAGTGCTCAGCTCAGGTGACTGGGGAGGCTGAGCCACTGGGCCCCACAGGACACCTACTACACAAGGCCACTCTACCAACTCCAGGAGACATGGTAGCTCTACCTCATACAAAGAACAAAAACAAGGAAGCAGCAAAAACATGGAGACAAAGAAACATGTCACAAATGAAAGAAATGGAAGCAAGCAAACTACTGGATACAGAGTTCAAAACCATAGTTATAAGGTTACTCAAGGATCTTGGTGAGAATACCACAGACATGAAAAAGACCAGTCAGAAATTAAGCATACACTAACCGAAATAAAGAATAATTTACAGGAATCCAACAGTAGAGTAGAGGATGCTGAGAATCAAGTCAGTGATTTGTGGAATATGAGGAAGCATAAAACACCCAATCAGAAGAGCTTAAAAAAAATTCCAAAAATATGAAGATAGCGTAAGGAGCTTCTGGGACAACTTCAAGGGTACCAACATTTGCATTATGGCAGTGCCAGAAGGAGAAGAGAGAAAGCAAGATACTGAAAACCTATTTGAAGAAATAATGACAGAAAACTACCCCTACCTGGTGAAAGAAATAGACTTACAAGTCCCCAAACAAGAGGAACCCAAAGAGGCCCACACCAAGACCCATCATAATTAAAATGCCAAGAGCAAAAGACAAAGAGAGAATCTTAAAAGCATCAAGAGAAAAGCAGTCAGTTGCCTATAAGGGAGTGTCCATATGACTGTCAGCCAGAAACTTTGCAGGCCAGAAGGGAGTGGTAAGAAATAGTCAAAGTGATGAATAGTAAGAACCTACAACCAAGATTACCCAGGAAAGCTCTCATTTAGAATTGAGGGTCAGATAAAGAGCTTCACAAACAAGAAAAAGCTAAAGGTATTCATTACCACCAAACCAGTACTACATGAAATGTTGGACACTCTTTAAGAAAAAGAAGAGACAAAAAATGTGAAAAATAAAATGACAACAAATATCTATCAACAATTAACTCTAAAAATCAAAATAAATGAATAGGAAATCTAATGCACAAAATAAACCAGTGAATAAAATAGAAGCAGAAACATGGAACAGACTGACGAATCTCAGAGGGAAGTGGGGAGGGGGTCAGGAAGAGATTAACCAAAGATCTTACCTGTGGACACAGACTAAGGTGGTGAAGGGGCGGAGTGGGAGCTGGGGGGAGGGGACATCTGTAATACTCTCAACAATAAATATTTTTTTTAAAATATATTTTATTGATTTTTTTACAGAGAGGAAGGGAAAGGGATAGAGAGAAACATCGATGAGAGAGAAACATCAATCACCTGCCTCCTGCACACTCCCTACTGGGGATGTGCCCGCAACCAAGGTACATGCCCTTGACCGGAATCGAACCTGGGACCCTTAAGTCCACAGGCTGACGCTCTATTCACTGAGCCAAACCAGTTAGGGCAACAATAAATATTTTTTAAAAGAAAACAAAAATGTTTACTATTTAAGCTCAATTGAGACTTTTCTACTTTAAAAAGTATACATTCCATTTGGTTATCTGTTGGTCAGGTGTTCATTAGGGCGTCTTAGATACAAATGAAGCAGTGACAGGCATCTTTGAAAAGAAAGTGTGTGTGTCTGCGGTTCTTTCTGCCCTCCCTGGAGCCAGAGCACTCAGGAGCTTCCTCACAGCTTGTTTTCCTTGCACAGGACAGAATGTGTGAATGGAGGGGGCTGATGCAGTAGGCTGCAGGGTTGTGGCTGATAGTCACGAGTAGTGTATTTTAACGTTCTCTAGTTTGAGAAGAATACCTTCAGCTTGGAAATGCATGTGGAGATCCTGTGTAGGGGGGATCCTGCTGCTCTGTCTGCATGGCTGAGAGAGGGGTTATCAGGCCTGGCAGAGCTGCATTCCTCCCAACACATGCTCCCCCTTTTCCTTCTGCTGGAGACCCAGCCTACAAGCCTTGCCTTTCATCTGAGACACTGTGTGACAGGAAGGGGAGACACCTGGTCCCGTGTGAAAGCCAATCTCATCAGCGAGGAGCAAGAATCCCGGCACGTCTCCAGGCCAGGGGGGGACAAAGATGAGGCCGTGTGTGAAGTGGAGGAGCAATGGGAAGCAAGCTCAGGCTGTGCTGCTCCCATCCCACCCAAGCCAACACGGAGACCAGTTTGCAAATTAGGGCTCAGGTATAAATGAGGCTACACCCTAGTTTTTTAAGCACTTTTCTGTGCACGAGGCTAAACTTTACTGGTCATAGAAATGCCTCTTATCCTGGCAGACGTGCGCCGGGAGTAGTGTTTTGCTTTCAGAGGTGGAGGGAGGAACAGTTTCAGTGCCAAGTGGGATGGAGTGGATGTGTCCTCCCCGGAGCCCTCACACTCAGAGCCTTAGCCTGGCTCTGTGATTGGTGGTACTGTGTGAACAAGAGCAACCTTCAGAGATGGATTCCTGTGATGAGCACAGCAGCAATACCTATTCAGCCCGTTCAGTTTCCTCAGTACAACCCCATGCTCTACAGCAGCGGTTCTCAACCTGTGGGTCGCGACCCCTCTGGCAGTCGAACGACCCTTTCACAGGGGTCGCCTAAGACCATCCTGCATATCAGATATTTACATGACGATTCATAACAGTAGCAACATTACTGTTATGAAATAGCAACAAAAATAATTTTATGGTTGGGCCACAACATGAGGAACTGTATTTAAAGGGCCAGAAGGTTGAGAACCACTGCTCTACAGTTATTCCTCCCACTTTACAGATGGGTCATCTGAGGCTCAGAGAAATTTTAACACTTGCTCTTGTCCAACCCTCCCTCTTTGGAGTGGGACCATATTTTATCTCAAATTCATCTACACACTGAACAAATGATTTCTTCTGTTAAAACCGGTGAAAACATAGGCGTTAAACAGCAAGCGCAGTGGAGTCCTGGCTGGAGCTGCCCACTGCTCCTGGGAGCTCCGCAGCGTCAGGTCTGAAGACCCACAGCGATGCTGCAAGGCCACAGCTTCTCACCCACTGAACTTGTTTCTGTTCTTATCGTTTGTCTTCCATTTTTAAAAAATAAGGTACCTTTTAAATACTTAGTTGTCCGATATAGTGTGACACATGCAGGAGATCTACAAGCAGCATAAAACTGAAGGACAGTCAGAAGCACGGGCTCCGTCAGTGGCGATTCTTGAGGTGCTCCTTGGCGTGGACATAATATTTACGTGCTAACAGTACTGCTGCCCACAGACGTGGTTCATTTGAGAGCAGGCACAAGTCATAGAATAATGAACTGTACACTATAGGAATTCTGCTTTTTTCAAAATGCAAGGATGCTATTTTTAGAACATTATAAATAAGAACATATAAGCCTGAGTGATAACACCTTGAGTGACACTCCCATGTGATGAGTAGGTTAGCTCTGTGAGCTGCAGGTGGATTTGAAAAGCACATGTATGAAGCTGCTTGTCAGAAACAGTGAAGTGTTCTCTGTGTACACTCCCTCAGAATACAGGTAAAATACTCCCCTTCCTTTTCTAGAAGCCTCCCTTTGGAAATCTGTAATACTGTGCTAAACTTCACTCAGGTGTACTGCTTCTAGCATGATTGGGCTCAGCACTGTGGAATCCAAGAACCTGGTGGAGTATGTAGAAATAAAACAATATATGTAATATTGTTTAAAGAGAAAACTTTTAAATTCGATCACTCACTCCTTTCCCTCGCAGATCGCAGATTTTGGTTTATCGAAGTGGCGCATGATGTCCCTGTCACAGTCGCGGAATAGTAAGGCTGCCCCGGAAGGCGGGACCATCATCTACATGCCGCCCGAGAACTACGAGCCGGGGCAGAAGGCGAGGGCCAGCGTCAAGCATGACATATACAGGTGCGGCTGCTGCTTGCTCAGAGCTCACCGCTCTGAGAGCCAGAACAAGCAGTCAGCATTTTGAAGCTGCATTTTAAAGTGTGATTTTTATTCTTTCCTACATGTGGGAAAATAAAGTAGAGCGCACAGTGACTAGTATTTCTGAATTTAAAGATGCCTTGCTTTAAGCCACATTTAGATCCTTGAAAACATTTTGAAGCACATCTATTGTCCTGTCAATTTATAATGTAACTAGAGGCCCAGTTCATGAAATTCGTGCACTGGGCAGGGAGTGTCCCTCAGCCTGGCCTGCACCCTTTTGCAGCCCAGGACCTCTCGGGGGATGTCCGCATGCCAGCTTAGGCCCTCTCCGGGCCTAAGCCGGCAGGCAGACATCCCTCTCGCAGTCCGGGACCCCTCGCTCCTTACCACCTGCCTACTCGCTGTTCCTTACTTCTCAGCTCACTGCTCCTTAGTTCTGCCACGGAGGCAGGAGAGATTACCACCACTGCTTGCCAGCCGTGAGCCCAACTTCTGGCTGAGCAGCACTCCCCCTGTGGGAGCACACTGACTGCCAATGAGCAGCTCCTGCATTGAGTGTCTGCCCCCTGGTGGTCAGTGTGCATCATAGCGACTGGTCGTTCTGGTTGTTCCACTTTAATGGTCACTTAGGCTTTTATTATATACGTGCTCCAGGGTTTTATCGCATGTGACTTTGATGTAGGTGGGGGAGGGGACTACCCAAGAAGGCAGAACAAAGTTCATAAAAAAGGACAGCCTTTTTTATTGCTATTTTGTGTGAATAATAAAATCCTATAATTAGAGGGTATAGCTTATCTAGGTGTTTAAGAATGATTACTAAATGATTCTTAAATTATTTTTACATATAACTTCAAGTTTTTATAACAGTAATTTCCTAATTTTTCAAATTAAGATTAATTCCCTTTCTTTTTTTTAAATCTACACCCAAGGATATTTTTCCATTGGTTTTTAGGGAGAGTGGAAGAGAGAGGGAAAGACAGGGAGAAATATCGATGTGATAGAAATAAATCAATTGGTTGCCTCCTGTACAAGCCCCACCCAGGGCCTGCCGGGGAGGAGCCTGCAATCGAGGTACGTGCCCTTGACCGGAATCGAACCCAGGACCCTTTGGTCCACAGGCCAATCCTCTATCCACTGAGCCAAACCGGCCAGGGCAAGATTAATTCCCTTTCAAAACAAGCTGAATAATCATCATCTTGGTTGTATATGCTGATTCTTAATACAGCAGCTCACTACCTTATCACTTTCAAAAACAGTATCTCCACAGTCAGCTTTTGGATTTGGTGTTACAGTTTACCACACAGGGCTGGTTTGTAATCTACTGTGTACATTTTACATTCAACAGCTATGCAGTCATCATGTGGGAAGTCTTATCCAGAAAACAGCCTTTTGAGGGTGAGTTGCCCTGACCTCCTCCTCAGGGATGTCCTGCTGGTGGGCCACATGCAGAATATCTACGACTCATCTACATTAAATCTGCCCACCAATCATTTTGTGGAAAACACACTAAAAAAGGCATAACAACTCACCGTGAATCCAGTGTACACTGAGAAGCATACCAGATTCAGGATCAGGAAAATTAGATTCTCATTCTTGCTCTGACAGTAATTAGTTCTATCATCAAGCTATTAAATTTCTTGAGTCTTCAGTTTGTTCTCTATAAAACGAGGATTTTTAATTCCTATTCCTAAGATTCATTCCAGTTATAAAACTGTTCATATGAAAAATTAATTAGTGTCCCATATAAAGACTAGAAAACACTAAAGAATAATTCTTAAAGTTTCTGAAAATATTATTTCTTAATGTTTTTTTTTGTTAACCTTCATGGGAGCATATTTTTTCCATTGCTTTTTCAGAGAGAGGAAAGGAAGGAGGGGGGAGGGAGGTAGAGAGCCAGAAACATCAATGTGAGAGAGACTGATCGATTGGTTGCCCATATGAGCCCCGACTGGCGACAGGGAGCAAACCCACAACCCAGGCACATGCCCTTGACCTGGAATCAGACCTGTGACCCCGCCTGGCTGGCGTGGTTCAGTGGTTGAGCTATGACCAGGACGTCATGGTTCATTTCCTTGTCAAAGCACATGCCAGGGTTGTGGGCTTGATCCTCAGTGTGGCGTGTGCAGGAGGCAGCCGATCAATGATTTTCTCTAATCATTGAAGTTTCCATCTCTCTCTCTGTCCCTCTCCATTCCTCTCTGAAATAAATGAAAAAATATATATTTTTAAAAACCCACGACCCCTTGGTGAAATAGCTGATGCTCTAACCATTGAGCTGCTGGCTGGGGCCATTTCTTATTTCGAGGTTTATATAAGTCACTTGCTGTACAGCAAACAACCTCAGGGTCTCAGCAGCTTACAAAACAAAACAGTATTTCTCAGTTACATTGGATGCTAGTTGCTGTAGCCCAAGCATGTCAAACTCAAAAGGCTAACATGGGCCAAATGAACAAGGATTAAGTTTATGTAGGCCGCAAAAAATAAAAGCTTCAATTTTCATAGAAATATAGTTTATTTCAATAGAGACATGCCGAATACAAAGGGCTGAAATAAATGAGTCATCGTTCACATAAAATAATAGAACATTTTAAGAAAATGAATATTTTCTAGAACGTTAACTTACCAGACACTGAATAACTGCACAAATTAATAAGCGTAACACAAATAAACCTATTTTTCTTGTTCTCCAAAAGCAAAATGTTTCCTGTTGCGCACACCAAACAAGTCAGTCCAAGACTAATGACGTGGCAATCCGCTGCTAAAATATTCGCTGCCAGTATTAGTGGAGGGAAATGGTGCGCCTGCACGTTGGGTGCATAGGGAAATGAATGCAACACGATTATAGCCATCAGTCACTAGCGAACGTTGTAGTTTGTTATTAATAAGTAGAGACCCGTTGCACGAAATTCGTGCACAGGAGTGGGGGGTTGTCCCTCAGCTCAGCCTGCGCCCTCTTGCAATCCCTGACCCCTCAGGTAGGGTCCCTAGGCCTCGCCAGTGTACAGGGCCTTTCGGGGCTTTCCTTTCCCTGGCTGCCGGCAGCTGGCCCCGCCCCCGCCACTGGTTGCCTCCCTCTGCAGGCCACAGGCATGAGGTGCGATCCCGTGGCTGCCCTGGGCCTCCCTCTGCAGGGTGATCCCTGGCCGGCCCTGCTCACCTGCCGCAGAGCTGCCAGCCGGGAGGCCCCGCCCACCTGGCCAGGGTTCCGGGACTGATCACTGTGCAGAGGGAGGCCTGGCCTCCTCCTGTGGGGCAATTGTGGGGTGATGGTGGGGCCTCCAACCAATTGCATCGCACCTGCCTTGGCTGGCCTGGCACCAGTGCGTGTCATAGTATGATTGCCCGGAAGGTAGTCAGAATGGTCGTTCTGTTATTCGGTTGTTCAGTCGATTTGCATATTACACTCTTATTATTATAGATTATGTATAACAGGATATTGTAAAAATTAAGTTATTAAAACATTTCTTGCATACCGTTGTGTTGACGGCTGCAAAAATATTCGTTGTGGGCCGCATGTGGCCTGCAGGCCATGAGTTTGACATGCTTGCTGTAGCCCTTCCTGGGTCTAAATAAGTTGAGCTCAGCTCAGCGCTGCTCACGGCCTATTGCCCAGATCAATCCCACGCCCAGCGCAGTGCAGCAATGCTTCACACTCCTCAGAGGAGCCAGGCAGGCCCGTGATGGCTGGGATGCACCTGTTGCTTTAGCAGAAAGGGCAGTGAATTAGTCCTAAGACTTTAAGAGTCCCTCCTTTTCACTTGGTTGGCTTTAGAATGCATTTAGCATACTGGATCATAAAAAGTCTCTAATGAATGACGTACATTTGTTTCGATAGACGTCACCAACCCTTTGCAAATTATGTACAGTGTGTCACAAGGACACCGGCCCGACACCAGCGAAGACAGCCTGCCACCCGGTACCCCCCATCGAGCGCGGATGGTCGCACTCATCGAAGGCGGATGGGCACAGAACCCGGATGAACGGCCGTCCTTCCTCAGTGAGTCACCCTCCATTACAAGCAGTTCAGATTCTGTGAATAAACGTTCCTTGGAAAGTTATACAAGTTAGATGGCAAGCTCAAAGTTATTGTTTTTATTTTCTCCCCTCTTGTTATTCACAGCATTTATAAAAGGGTCACTGCTTCTAGAGCGGAACTGAGACTCCTAATAGAACTCTGAAAGGGTAATAGTCCATTCCTGAAGCCTCGGGTAGCTCCCGCGCCTGCCTGGTGCCACGCGCTGAGGTGGTGCTCGGGGAACGGAATAGTGACCATGACGAAGCCGCTCAGTCCCTGGAGCTCACATCCGGTTGAAAGCAGAGAAGTAAATAAATAAATAAATAGCCAAGCCAGACGTGGTTCCAGTCCTGTAAGGCAGTGAGCAGGGACAGTAGGTGAGGGAGGGAACGAAAGCCCTTTATTGGGGAAAAAGCGTGAGAGGTGAAATTCGAAGCTTGAAGAGGAGGCAAAGGCAGGGTGTCTCAGGCAGAGGACACAGCCAGGCTGAGCCGCTGGAGCGGAAGTCCATGTCCTGGAGGAACAAAGGAAGGCCAGGGGCTGGCGGACCTGTGCACAGAAGGGAGTAAATGGGATGCGCATGGAAAAGGGAGGAGAGGCTGCCTCTGTCATGAAGGGTTGGCTGTTGTTCCCAGGAAGTGGGGAGCCATGGAGGTGTGTCTCATGGGACTGAGCTGATCCACTGTGAGTTTAGAAGTCACTCCTGCTGCTGTGGCCTGAGGCAGAGACCAGCCAGGAGACCAGACAGGAAATGAGGCCAGTTGAGATCTGCCTGGGAGGCAGAGCGGACCTCAGGCATTGCAGACACAGGAGGAGGCCTGCCTGACCCCTGTATGACCTCGGGGCGGAGCTCTAGGGTGAGACCCAGGCAAGATCCATAGAACAACTGAGACTTGGACTTCCCAGAAATTGAAAATTTTTACATTTTAAAGACTATAAAAAGTAAAAAGACAAGCCACGCACTTGGCATATTCATTCCAAATAAGCAATGAAGTCTATTTTCCATTCAAAACTTATGTCCAGTGCTCATCAGCATTATAGTAAAACATCAAAAGCTGCTAAAATAATGGGCTGACATTGTATCTCTTATTTCCCACAGCTGTGTGGGAGGACACATACCTCCTTTGTCCCCAGTCCCTCTCCGAAGTAGTTACTTCTCTGTTTCCTGAAAACCCTGGCTCTTCTGCAGATCATGCACCAGGCAGCACCCACTTCCCTACGCACTTCCTGGGTTTCCTGTTGCTCCCTGAAGCCTGGGGCGACGGCTAACTGACTCCCGCACCCTCATGGGTCAGGGCTCTGGCCCCTGGAGGAGCCCTTGAGCATCTCTGGCCTTCTGTGTGCTTTTCCTCTCTGCCTGTGAACTGTCTGCCTGGTCCCCAGGCTCCACCTCACTCAGGTCCCTCTCTCAAGGCAGTAAGCCTGCAGTCCTAAGGCTCCTTCGTCTGTCTCTCTGTTTCTCGTCTCCGATCATTGTCCTTTGTTGCCCGATAGCTGCTGTCTTAAAAACCACTCTTTCACCCGGCCGGTGAGGCTCAGTGGTTGAGCGTCAAGCCATGAGCCAGGAGGTCATGGTTCGATTCCCAGTCAGGGCACATGTCCAGGTTGTGGTCTCAATGGTAGAGGGTGTGCAGGAGGCAGCCAACCAATGATTCCAATCATTGGTGTTTCTATCTCTCTCCCTTTTCCTTCCTCTCTGAAACAAAAAAAATATGTATTTTTTTTTAAATATATATTTTTTTTATTGATTTTTTACAGAGAGGAAGGGAGAGAAATAGCAAGTTAGAAACATCGATGAGAGAGAAACATCGATCAGCTGCCTCCTGCACACTCCCTACTGTGGATGTGCCCGCAACCAAGGTACATGCCCTTGAGCGGAATCCAGGCAATCGGTACATGCCTGGAGTCTGCAGGCCGACGCTCTATCCACTGAGCCAAACCGGCTAGGGCAAAAAAATATGTATTTTTTAAAAACCCACTCCTTCATACATTTTGTCTGGCCTTTTTGGTTTTTTCAAGCAGGAGGGTTGCCGAAACCGGTTTGGCTCAGTGGATAGAGCGTAAGCCTGCGGACTGAAGGGTCCCAGGTTCGATTCCGGTCAAGGGCATGTACCTGGGTTGCGGGCACATCCCCAGTAGGAGATGTGCAGGAGGCAGTTGATCAATGTTTCTCTCTCATCAATGTTTCTAACTCTGTCTCTCTCCCTTCCTCTCTGTAAAAAATCAATAAAATATATTTAAAAAAAAAAAAAAAGCAGGAGGGTAAATCGGTCCCTATTACTCCATCTTGGCCAAGTGGAAGTCCCTGGTTTCTCTTTATTTTATTTTATTGTTTTAATCCTTACCAAGGATATTTTCCCATTTTTAGAGAGTGGAAGAGAGAAAGACAGAAATATCGATGTGAGAGAAACACGTCAATTGGTTGCCTCCTGCATGCACCTGACCAGGGCCCAGACCAGGGAGGAGCCTGTAACCGGGCTACGTGCCCTTAACCAGGATCGAACCCGGGACCCTTCGGTGTGCAGGCTGACACTCTCTCCACTGAGCCAAATCAGCCAGGGCCCTGGTTTCTCTTTCAATCAATGGCCCAAACTGGGCACTAAAACTGCTTCTGAAAGATCTGAACTTTCCCTCTGAGGCACCCGCTGTCTTGAGGGGCGGGGCTCCGGGGGCTGCTCCCAGAGACTCGGTTCTCAGAACCAACACTGTTTTCAAAATAATAAATACAGGGACACGCTTCCCTTTTACTCATCCTTCAAGAGTGGATTTGCAGAAGCTAAACAGGCATGATGGTATCATTGCTCTCACAGATAACGCAATGTGTTCGCACATACTCTTATTTTAAGCTTTTCTGTTTTAATTTCTCATATACTAAATAGCAGGAGACACGGCCACATGTGCAGAAGCTCTTGGGGCGCTGGGTCATTGTGAAGAGCCCTGAGCCCTAAGGCTGGAGAGCTGCTCTTAGATGATCATCCTGATGCCTTCTCTTCTCCAAAGTGAAGCTCTCCTTGAGACTTTCCCTCTGGGGGTTTCAAGACACAAAAGAATACATCTCTTCCTCCCTCATTTCTCTTCCTCCCTCAACTTCTAACTGTCAGGGCCTCAGCCCCTCCAGGTCCTCGTCTCCTTGCTCTATACTCTTCCCAGTGTGGCAGGCCTGCTGTGGCCCTGTCCCACCACCTCTGTGTGAGTGACACTTCCCGCCGTGGCCCTGTCCACCACCTCAGTGTGAGTGACACTTCCCGCCATGGCCCTGTCCGCCACCTCAGTGTGAGTGACACTTCCCGCCGTGGCCCTGTCCGCCACCTCAGTGTGAGTGACACTTCCCGCCGTGGCCCTGTCCGCCACCTCAGTGTGAGTGACACTTCCCGCCGTGGCCCTGTCCACCACCTCTGTGTGACGCTCAGTTTTCTACCTGGAGTGCTGGCCTCTCCCTCGAGCAGCAGGTTCATTTTCTCCTAGTGATGATGGTAATTCTGAGTGTTCCCACGTGTGGGCCGCCGGGAACATTGCTGCTGTGACTGCTCACCTGCCCATCTGTGTGAATGTGTTTCCATTTCTCTCAGTAACTATAAGTGAAATTGCTCAGTTTATGATAAATTTATCTGCCATTTTTTTAAAAACTGCCAAACTTTCACAGTGGCTGCATCATTTGTGTTGCCATCAGCAGCGGGAGGACTTGAGGTTGTGTCTGCATTGCTGTCGGCACTTGCTGCTGTCTGCGCTTTAATTGCAGTTCTTTCCGTGGGTATGGAGTGCTATCTCATTGTCGTTTTAATTTGCATTTCCTAATGGCTGATGATGTTAAACCTATTTTCATGTGCTTTTTACTCATTTGTATCTCCCCTTCGATGAAATTTAATTTTTTGCCCATTTTAAATTGGGCCATTTATCTGATTAAGCCGCCCAGCGTTCTTTGTATACTCTAGAGACGCAAGTCCTCCAGCAGACACGTGACATGCAGACGTGATCTGTCTGTCTGTGGCCAGTATTTCATTTTTCTTAATAGTGTCTCTTGAAGAATAAAAGTTTTCAATATTTTGAACTTCATTTGCCAGTTTTGTGTGGACCCTGTTTTTAGGTCATAGCTAAGAATTCTGTGCCCAGCCTAAGGTCATGAAGACTCTCTCCTATATTCCACTTGGGTGCACGTCCATTTCAGGTTAAGTCCACATTTGTTGTGGGTAAGAGTAAGTTTATCTGTGTCCCTGTGGCTCTCCGACTGTCCCAGAGCCACTGGTTGGAATGACGATCCTGTCCCCGTTAAATGTCCTTTTCAATTTTGTCAAAAAGCAGTTGACCATAATTGGAAGGATTTAACTTTAGACTCTCAGTTCTGATTCTGTTCTATTGATCTAGATGCCTATCTTATTTTTTCCATCTCCCTACTCCCCTCCCCTTTCGCAACCATCCGTTTGTTCTCTGTATCTGAGTCTGTTTCTGTTTTGTTTCTGGATTCCCCATGTAAGTGAAATCATATGGCATTTGTCTTTCTCTGTCCTACCTAATTCACTCAGCATAAGACCCTCTGGTCCACCCATGTTGTCTCAGACGGCAAGATGGCATTACTTTGTATGGCTCAGTATATGCTTTCCATTGTGCACTGAACCGCAGCCTGATCCCTTCGTCTGTCAGTGGACACCTATGTGCTTCCATGTCTTGGCTGTTGTAAATAATGTTGCAATGAACACAGAAGTGCACATACCTTTTCAAATTTGTGTTTTTATTTTCTTTGGATAAATATTAGAAGTGGGATTGCAGAGTCATATGGAAATTCCATTTTTAATTTTTTGAGGAACCTCCATACTGCTTTCCACAGGGCTGCACCAATTTACAGTCCCACCAACAGTGCACGAGGGTTCCCTTTTCTCCACATCCTCACCAACACTTCCTATATGTTGATCTTTTTCTTTTTCTTTTTTGCTATTTGTAGATTATTGATGGTCAACATTGGTAGGTGTGAGGTGATGCCTCATTGTGGTTTTAATTTGCATTTCCATGATGATTAGTGGTGCTAAGGATCTTTTCATGTATCTATTTGTCATCTGTATGTCCTCTTTGGAGAAATGTCTGTTCAGGGTCTCTGCCCATTTTCAGTTGGATTGTGTTAAGTTGTATGTGTTTCTTATATATTTTGGATATTAACTCCTTATTGGATAGATTATTTGCAAATAATCTTCTCCCATTGAGTAGGTTGTCTTTTCATTTTGTTGATGGTTTCCTTTGCTGTGCAAAAACTTTTTTGTTTATGTAGTCCCACTTGTTTATTTTTGTTTTTGTTGGCCTTGTCTGAGGAGACATGCTTGGCCTGGGGCCTTTTAGAGAGAGGTATGGGGCATGCTGAGGCTAGATGCTGCTTCTTTAGGAAAATCTGAATATTAAAAAGATATTGCTAAGACTGATATCAAAGAGTTTATTGTCTTATATTTAAGTTTAATCCATTTTAAGTTTACTTTTGTTTGTGGTGTATATATGATATCTGTATGCCTGTAATAAAGTCTGTTAAGACAGTTGGTTGTCATTAGTGGGAAAAATTGACGTAGGCCTTATCAGTTAAATATTATCATTTATATTATTCAATTTAATGACTAGATGCAATCTGAACTCTAATTTTTTTCTTATTTAGAATGTTTAATAGAACTTGAGCCAGTCCTGAGAACATATGAAGAGATAAGTTTTCTTGAAGCTGTTTTGCAACTAAAGAAAACAAAGGTAAATCATTGCTAAATGAAATGCTGGAAATCAGACTTTAAACAACTATATGTTAGTCACGGAGACATTCGATTTAGTTTGTAATTCTTACCTGTGTACTTTTCACAAGTATGGGCTATAGTATTGGGGCGAAGCGTTTATGAGAGGTTATAAATGCTCTCCTTCTGTCACTGAAAGGCTTTTCCATGCCATTCAGATGGCCATCTCCAGATTCCAGGCATTTCCAGAACTCCTATATATTACATTTTAATGTAAAATGTGTCATGACACTTCTCCAAAGAGGACATACAAATGGCCAAGAGACATATGAAAAAAATGCTCAAAGTCACTAATTATCAGAGAGATGCAAATTTAAACAACAATGAGATACCACCTCACACCTGTCAGAATGACTACCATCAACAGATGACAAGTGCTGGCGAGGATGTAAAGAAAAGGGAACCCTCATGCACTGCTGGTGGGAATGCAGACTGGTGCAGCCACTGTGGAAAACACTATGGAGTCTCCTCAAAAACTTAAAAATGGAACTGCCATTTGAGCCAATGATCCCACTTCTAGGAATATATCCTAAGAAACCAGAAACACCAGTCAGAAAGAATGTATGCACCACTATGTTAATAGCAGTGCAACTACAATAGCTAAGATTTGGAAACAGCCCAAGTGCCCATCAGCAGATGAATGGATAAAAAAGCAGTGGTAATTTACACCATGGAATACTGTGCAGCTGTCAAAAAGAAAGAACTCTTATCTTTTAAGGATGGGCCTAGAGAGTATTATACTAAGTGAAATGAGCCAGTTAGAGAAAGACAAGTATCACATGATCTCACTCATATGTGGAATCTTATGAGCAAAATAAACTGATGAACAAAATAGATCCAGAGACATAGAAGCATGGAACAGACTGGTGAATTCCAGAGGGAAGGTGGGGGTGGGTGAGTAGGTGGGGAGTGATTAGCCAGGGAACTTATACGCAAATATGGACACAGACAATAGAGTGGTGAAGGCCTGGGAGGGGCAGGTGCGGGGTGGAGGGGTTCAATGAAAAAAACAAACATGCCCAGCCGAGTGGCTCGGGTTGAGCATCCACCTATGAACCAGGAAGTAACGGTTTGATTCCCAGTCAGGGCACATGCCTGGGTTGCGGACTGGATCCCCAGTGTGAGGTGTGCAGGAGGCAGCCGATCAATGATTCCCTCTCATCATTGATGTTTCTATCTCTCCCTCTCCCTTCCTTTCTGAAATCAATAAAGATATATATATTTTTAAAACCAAGAAAGTGGGCATCTGTAATACTTCCAACAATAAAGAAAAAAAAGAAAGGAAAGAAAATAAGACAGAAGGAAAAAAAAGTGTCATGAATGCCAGTGTGTACAATGAATTCCGTAAATCAACTTTTTAATCCACATGTTATTTCCCTAAAGTCTTCAGAGTAATAGATATCTGGGTTCTTACACTTCTCTTTGTCCAGTGTTCTCAGGCTTTTCTATGATTTATGGTAAGTTAAGCTGCAGGATTTTTATTAAGTGTATTTTATTTTGTGTATTATTTGAGGATTGATACACAAAATGTTTATTTTTTAAATTGCTTTTTGATTTTGTTATCCTACTCACTTGTTGCATAGCCAGTCTGTTGATGTGGATCTAGGACAGTTGTCTTCCTGGCTCTTGCAGATCAGAAAAACTGAAGGGACCCAACACTGCAGGGTTTTCTCAACATTAAAGTTGTTTAAAAGCCACTGTGGTCCTTTCGGGGGCAGAGTAAGCATAGTTTAGCACTTGTTGGGTTTCCTTATGTTGCCTTTGAAATATGATCCAGTTTGCAGGATCGATTGACACAGCCTCTGATGTAGAAGGGACACGCATAAAGGAAACGGCTTCCCTTAACCAAACTAAGAATTGATGGGGACAATACTAGTTAGTGCCTGAGTGTTTTAAGGCACTAACAGCTTACCTTACTGTAAATCACAGAAAAGCCTGAGAACACTGGACAAAGAGAAGTATAAGAACCCAGATATCTATTACTCTGAAGACTTTAGGGAAATAACTAAAGAGAAACTGTGTTAATCCTTTTGATAACTTTTTACTGACTTATCCACTTCTGATAGGTACAGTGTTTTCCAGAACATTCCATCTTATCCACTTCTTAGTAGATACAAACTTCAATAACATTTCTTTTTGCTTTATCTTTTCAGTTCTCTTTTCTCTCCTTATAACTCTCTCTTCTTCTAAGCAGGTGTACCAAAGGATCTGCTTTCTTGGTTTTAAAGTAGAAAAGAACCATTCCAGTTCCTTTGTCCACAAACAACTTATATTAGGATCTATATTTAAAACTGTTAATTTTTAGAAGTCTGGCTTTTTAAATAAAGTAAGTTATATAATTATAAATACCTGAATATCCTATATAATAAAAGGCTAATATGCACATTGACCGAACAGTAGGAATGACCGGTCACTATGACGCACACTGATCACCAGGGGGCAGATGCTCAATGAAGGAGCTGCCCCCTGGTGGTCAGTGCGCTCCAACAGGGGAAGCGCCTCTCAACCAGCAGCCAGGCTCATGGCTGGCAAGCGCAGCGGTGGTGGTGGGAGCCTCTCCCGCCTCCACGGCATCACTAAGAATGTCTGACTGAGCGGGCCTAAGCCATCAGTCAGACATCCCCCAAGGGTTTCCAGACTGCAAGAGGGCACAGGCTGGGCTGAGGGGACCCTCTCCCCAGTACACGAATTATGTGCACCGGGCCTCTAGTCATTTAATAATAGCATCACTTTCATCATTGTTTTTAACTTACTGTATTGTTTTCACTTAGGGTTGTTACAGTTATTCTTTAATTTTTTTAAAAAAATTTTATATTGTGTGGCCTGTGTGTCTCAGTGGTTGAGCATCAACCTATGAACCAGGAGGTCATGGTTCAATTCCTGGTCATGGCACATGCCCTGGTTCCAGGCTCGATCCCCAGTAGGGGGTGTGTAGGAAGAAGCCAATCAGTGATTCTCTTCCATCATTGATGTTTCTCTCTCTCCCTCTCCCTTCCTCTCTGATATCAATAAAATATATATATATATATTTTAATCCTTATATCAGTACTGTGAAACTCGTAGGGCAGGATCTTGTTGCCATCGCACTGGTAAGATCATGGAGGTGCGTGGATGTCAGTGACACAGCACCCACACAGCCAGCCCACATCGGGGCCAGGAATAGAATATAAATTTAATAAGACTTTTCATAAAGAAATTGTTAAAAACAAAGATCACCATTTAGGATAAGCTGATTTGTTAAAGAATTTTACTCATGTGATTTGTTACTCCAGTTAAAGCACATGTATGTGTCTGCTCCAGGTGCAGAGCGCTCTGAGTGCTGTCCACATATGTGACAAGAAATCGGAGGCATCTCTGAACTTCTCTCTAAATCACGGTCCACTAGAGGTAAACAGAACTTCTGTTGATAAACTCAAAATCTGAGAATCTGGGAAAGTCACCCAATCTAACTCCTGGGGAGGTGCTGGGATCTGCCCATGGCCCAGGGCCATGCCCGGCTAGAAATCCCTCATCCAGCCCCTGCTCCTCGCCCAGCCAGCCCTGTGGCCTGTGTGACGCACTGTGTCCCCATGGATCGGCAGGGGGGACGTTGCTCTGGTGGTGCTGGGCCCACCCTGACCGAGCTCTGCGCTGTCCATCTGCCTGTCCTTCCCTCTCCCAGGAGGAGGGAAGGGGAGTGGCACCGTGTGGCTGTGCACGAGGAAAGGGCTCCTGAGGGCATCTCCTCGGGCTCACTGCATCTTGGTCATTTCTCTTCAGAAAACGTATGTCCACTTCACAGACTCAGAAAAGGCTTCAGCGTGAACGCTACAGCACAGCACTGGGCTCTCCATCTGCTGTGCCCACCGTCTCCGCTCAGAGCCACATGCACAGTGTAGACAGAGAGGACAGATAGCACCGGCAAGCCCGGCCCCGAGGGCGGAAGCCTGGTGGAGGCGCAGCCATGCTCCACCACTTCTGTGGGCCCTGTGCGGGTGGGGCGTGGGCAGAAAGGGGAGGCGCCTGCTCTACATCAGCCGGGAACCAGAGTTGCAGATTTCAAATTTCTCATCAACTGTACAGAGCCTCTAAGATCATATAGCAAATACTGGAAAAGTTATCATTTCTAATATGTTATCATTCACCCCCCAATTTAAGTTGATTTTAAAAATCAGGTTTTTTGTTTATTTGATATATGTGGCTTTTTACTTTGTAAGGTGTAACTGTCATTTTGATTCTTTGTTTATAATAAGCCACAAGCAAGAACTGTTTAGAAATTAAAGATGTATAACTTTTGAATGATTTTTCTTTAGCCTAAATCGTGTGTCCCTGTTCACCTCAGGAATCCTGTGGATCCTCTCAGTGTCATAAAAGTAGCGGTTCTCCCAGAGCCGCCAGATCCCTGTGCGCTGCTCAGCACGATGGCCTTGTGTCTGGTACGTACGGTTTGTCGTCGGTTTGGCTCACAGGTTTCCACTTTCTTTCAAGCTGATATTCTTGCAAACAATCACAGTGTGTGTGGCACGTGTCTCCCATTGGCACCCATGACGCATGTTCACAAAGGGACAGATAGTACAGCGTCCTGGGATGTTCAGGAGACCCCTCCCGTGTGGAAGGCATGCTGCGGGGCAGCACAGGAAAATACGGACAGCCTCGGGAGAGGGAGGAGCAGTGTGTCTGCGTGTGCACAGTGTGGCCGCAGCGGGTGCAGGGGAGGTGACAGGGCTGTGGGTTGGGGGAGGGCGTCTTCACAGCAGCCTGAGGGGCTCTGGGTCCACGGTCAGGAGCTGCACGTCCGCGGCTGGAAGCAGGTGTTTTGATCAGTGTTTTCCTGTTGCTCTGCTCGGCTCTGCCATCACGAAGAACTTGCTGGCGGGGGCTGAAGCTGTCCTTACGAAGGGTGGGTAATGGGTGGGCGTTCCAGGCCGAGCCACAGCGTCGGGGCTCGGATTCGCAGGGCAGGGCGCATGGACGGGGAGGCCAGGTGTGGCGAGGCCGACCAGGGTGGGGAGCCATCACTACACGCTTCTGAGCAAGGGAGTGACGGGATGAAATCCTTTGCTTTAGGAAGAGTCCTTCCGGCCGGACTCTAGGCTACTTGGGGAGAGCAAGGAGACGAGGTGGGGGAACAGCTGGGAGACTTGGTCTGTTGCTGCAGCACAGCCACAGCGGGGGGCTAGGAGGCCTGACCAGAGCACAGGAGGGGGTGGGGGTGCTGTCTCCGATAGGGTGAGGCCCCTCCTCACTGGCAGGAGGGATGGAGAAGCCAGGACTGCCAGAGCATTGGTGCTAGTCACTAGAACGGGTTCTAGAGTTAAGGTGAGCAGTTCAGTTTTTAATGTTTTTTAACGAGGTGTTCAGCAGCATGCATGAGGGCGCTGTCCAGTTGGCTGCTTAAAATGTGAGACCGAGGTTCCATGAAGTCAGAAAAGGTAATTACACGGACTTGGGAAGAGGTGACCACTGAGGCCTGCGGTGGCGAGGGTAACCAAGGAGAGCATAGGAAACACGTCACACACCGAGTCAGAGGACAGTTCAAAGTGCGGAGACGCAGAGGAGGGAGGGGCGACATGGAGAAGTAAAATCCCATGATGTGTCCCTTACATGGGACAGACAGACAGCGAGAGTGTGGCAGGACATTCGGTGTGACCCTCCTGGCCTAAGCAGTTACTTGCAGAATCAGGTGGACATGCAGCGCAAGCAGCAGTGCAGTGGACACTGCGTGCCCTCCCCGGTGTCGCCCTGCTGACAGCTGAGCTGCAGGAGGAACTAAGGATATCCTCCCCCAGTAGCAACATTGTCTTTCAGGAAAAACCCCGGACCTTTCCACCCTGCTCCCCCGCCCGGCCAATCACAGCTGGGATGACGTGTCTGCGGCTCAGACGGCCCTGATCTGTGACCATGAGACCGCCCCGCGCTCTTTGGCAGTACACCCCCTCTCCGCCGAGGGGAACTCAGGTAATTCCTGCTGCGAGACACCTCTCCACTCTGCCCAGTAGGTCTGCCACGTCAGGGCTACTGTCTTCACTCTCCCAATGTGGGGACACGGACATTCTGAAGTCGGGAAGCACTTCCAGCCCAAGCACCAGGGGCTGTGAGGTCACAGCTCAGGGGCCAGCGCGTGGTCACAGCTCAGGGTCGTACAGTCACAGCTCAGGGGCCGGCACATGGTCACAGCTCAGGGTTGTGCGGTCACAGCTCAGGGTCGTGCGGTCACAGCTCAGGGGCCGGCACGTGGTCACAGCTCAGGGTCGTGCGGTCACAGCTCAGGGTCGTGTGGTCACAGCTCAGGGTCGTGCGGTCACAGCTCAGGGGCCGGCACGTGGTCACAGCTCAGGGGCCGGTGCATGGTCACAGCTCAGGGGCCGGCACGTGGTCACAGCTCAGGGGCCGGTGCATGGTCACAGCTCAGGGTCGTGCGGTCACAGCTCAGGGTCGTGCGGTCACAGCTCAGGGGCCGTGCGGTCACAGCTCCGGGGCCGGAGCATGGTCACAGCTCAGGCTCGTGCGGTCACAGCTCAGGGGCCGATTCCTCACGGTCTGGGGAGGGGAAAATGGCTGGGCCCAGGTGTGACCGAATACATTACTAAAGGCAAAGTTGCTTTTGTTTATCTAACAAACATGCAGGTATCTTTTACACATTTTTTTAAAACTTAAAAAAAGGTTTTGCCCCATGATTTATAGCAGATAAAAAGGAGTGCTTTTTCAGGAGGGATGAGAAGAAATAAGTCAGATATCTGTTTACTGAAAATTAACAGCATCTCCCCAAAGTACTGGTTTCCTATTAGCACAGTCACAGTAAAGACAGGTTTTATGCCTCCTCATTTCTTTTTCATCTTGTTTTCTTCATTGCACGTGTCTGTCCTCACCTTTTACCTGTCCCCTGGCTCTGTGCAGAGCGATTGCAGCCTGGGGTGGCCCAGCAGTGGATCCAGAGCAAAAGGGAGGATGTCGTGAGCCAGATGACCGAGGCCTGCCTCAACCAGGCGCTGGACGCCCTGCTGTCCCGGGACCTGATCATGAAGGAGGACTACGAACTCATCAGCACCAAACCCACGAGGACCGCCAAAGTCAGGCAGTTACTGGACACCACTGACATCCAGGGAGAGGAATTTGCCAGAGTCATAGTGCAGAAGCTGAAGGACAACAAGCAGATGGGCCTCCAGCCCTACCCGGAAATACTGCCCGCTTCTCGGTCGCCATCGTTACTCTTATTTCAAAATAAAAGCTTATAGGGGACTCTTTTTCAAGAAGAACAGTCAGCTTATTAAAAGGTATTTTATATTTCTCTTGCCCTGATCAGATTGTTTTTATGAAATCCACGTGAGTCTTAGTAGCTTCAATGAAGTTTCTCCTTCATGTAAATATTAGTCTTCTCCATGACATTACAGTCTTTTTAAAATTAAAATAGTAGAAAGTATGCATTTTGCTACATAGTTCAATTTTTGTCTCTTTGGTTAATTGAAGCTTTTTTTGGTTTTATTTATTTTTATTGATTTTAGAGAGAGGGGGAGAGGAGAGCGAGAGGGAGGGAGAAACATCGATTGGTTGCCTCCCATTCGCACCCTGACTGGGGATCGAATCTGAAACCTAGGTATGTGCCTGCCTGGGAATCAAACCCGCAGCCTGTTTTTGGAGCATGGACCAGTGCTCCCACCAGCCGAGCCACCACCGGCTGGGCGGTTGAAGCTGTTCTCCAGTGTAATATTGTGCACTTCCTGTACACGGTGATTGTTGGCATCAGGCGTGTCCATGGAGGCACTCACGTTCACTCTGGGGTCTGCACGGCTTGTCTGAGCTGTGGCTGGCGTCTGCACTGCGCCCTCTACACTCACCAGAGCACACGGCCTTCTGACTGGCCGTCCAGCTCATGTCCTCTCCCACAGGCTGTGCATTAGATTCTTGTCCAGAATACATTTTTGTTTTTAATATATTTTTATTGATTTGGAGAAAGGGAGAGGGAGAAACATCAATGATGAGAGAAAACCATTGATCGGGTGCCGCCTGCAACTCAGGCATGTGCCCTGACCAGGAATCAAACCGTGACCTGCTGGTTCATAGGTCGACACTCAACCATTGAGCCACGCCGGCCGGGCCAGATTACGTTTTTAAATGTTATTTATTGAATTCTTCTTTTAAAACTTGTTTCACAGGTAAAACAATGCAAAGTATATAAAGAAAAATATTAATCTTTCAACATATGTTTCTACCTCCATTTCTGACCTCAGCCAACAACCTGGGCATGGACAGGTGCTGGTCCTTGCCTCCTCCCGGAGCAACCTCCTCGCCCATCCTCCTTAACTGCTGCGTAATACCACCAGGGAGCCTTTTTTCTTTTCCCTTTTTTTTAATGTGTTTTATAGATTTTTAGAGAGAGTGGAAGGGAGAGAGATAGAGAAATAGCAACATTGATGAGAGAGAACCATCGATTGGCTGCCTCCTGCACGCCCCCTACTGGGGATCGAGCCTACAACCCTGGCATGTGCCCTGACCTCTTGGTTCCTGGGTTGATGCTCAACCACTGAGCCACACTGACTGGGTGGCTTTTTTCTTTTTTTTAAGATATAGTGTGGGTTCTTTTTTGGCTAATTGGGTTATGTCACTAAGTGAAAATGTACAAGGAATAATGCCCTTTTCTGAAAATGTTTATCAGCAATGTCAGCAAACAGTGTGAACAGGACAAATTCGAAAGCACCACACCCACAGTGTGAAAAAATGAGGAAAAGCAGAAATGACTGATGGCGTTGAGGCAACGAAGTATTTTATTAAAATTATAAGAATGTGTATTTCCATCTCCATGTTGGAGCTTGACATTCACCGGTGGTGCCTCGAGAAAATGGAAATTAACGTGAGAGACGGAAGCAGTGTGTGAGTTGTCTGTTATTACGCCGATCATTTTTAAAGTGCGAGGATAAAGATTCAATTTGAGAAATAAATTGAGAAAAAAAGCGTCTTTTCTTTTGAAGGTTTTCCCCTTTCTGTATACATATTCCAGAATTTTAATTATTTTAAATCTTGATGGTTTCCAATTGGCCTTTTATATTGGTTTGATGATGTGGTGATCTAATTGGTAAAGTGAACTTTGCCCTGGGTCTTCCATTCTGCATAGTTCTAAACACTCGGCCTTCCAGCCGCTCTGTGTGCATGTGGCCTTGCGCAGCAGCCATTGTCTCCCATGATTTAACATAAGGGAGCATGTAGCCATGCACAGATCACCACGCATGGTGAGTAAGAAGATGGAGACGAGGGTTCAGGGGGCCTGCAGTCAGCCTCGTAGACCTGCTGCCACCCCTGTGGCCAGGTTTCATTGTAGCCCGTGTGCAGCGTGATGATTAGGGAAAGGGTGACGGGTGTGCAGTGGGTGTGTTTAGGGAAAGGGTGACGGGTGTGCAGTAGGTGTGTTTTGGGAAAGGGTGACGGGTGTGCAGTACGTGTGTTTAGGGAACGGGTGACGGGTGTGCAGTGGGTGTGTTTTGGGAACGGGTGACGGGTGTGCAGTGGGTGTGTTTAGGGAACGGGTGACGGGTGTGCAGTGGGTGTGTTTTGGGAACGGGTGACGGGTGTGCAGTGGGTGTGTTTAGGGAAAGGGTGACGGGTGTGCAGTGGGTGTGTTTTGGGAACGGGTGACGGGTGTGCAGTGGGTGTGTTTAGGGAACGGGTGACGGGTGTGCAGTGGGTGTGTTTAGGGAACGGGTGACGGGTGTGCAGTGGGTGTGTTTAGGGAACGGGTGACGGGTGTGCAGTGGGTGTGTTTAGGGAACGGGTGACGGGTGTGCAGTGGGTGTGTTTTGGGAACGGGTGACGGGTGTGCAGTGGGTGTGTTTTGGGAACGGGTGACGGGTGTGCAGTGGGTGTGTTTTGGGAACGGGTGACGGGTGTGCAGTGGGTGTGTTTAGGGAAAGGGTGACGGGTGTGCAGTGGGTGTATTTAGGGAACGGGTGACGGGTGTGCAGTGGGTGTGTTTAGGGAACGGGTGACGGGTGTGCAGTGGGTGTGTTTAGGGAAAGGGTGACGGGTGTGCAGTGGGTGTGTTTAGGGAACGGGTGACACATATGCCGAGTGTAACAGGTCAGATGAGAAGCAGGCCTAGCATGGAGAAGGTGCATTTGAATGTCTTTTTAGTGGTAGCTCCATGGGATGAGCTGGAGACAGATGAGGGCAAGACCCTGCAGGTGCAGCCGCAGCTGGGCTGCCCGTGGCCTGCGGACCCGGCACTCTATGATGTCAGGGGCGCTTGGTGACGTTGAGGGCTGCTGAGGCCTGCGGATCTGGCGCTCGCTGGCCTTGGGGCCTGTGGTCTGGAAGTTCTTCAGTTCTTCCTCCACCTTCTAGTTAAGTCACAGAGATGTCACAGCGTCACCTTTAACCCCCTTGTTGACAAACAGAGAACAGGCTTCAGGCTCAGACCTTCAGCCACAACATAACAACGATCTTTTCATTTTTTAAAATTGTACTTTGTTTGAAAACGACCTTCTACATCTGACACTGGTAGTAGTTTTCTGTGTGTAACATGTAAAGGTTCACGTACAATATTGACGACAAGGGAGCTGAGTGCCGAGGTCTGTGTGGTCCAGGCGGGGCCCCTCGGCAGGAGGACGCCGGGTTAGGGTGCAGTTGCTCCGGGAGGGTCCTCACAGTCCGGAACCCCCTGTGTTCCCTGGAGGAGGCTGGGGACAGCACTGCGCACTGGGTGAGGGCAGAGCCCCGAGCGGGCACCGCACGCCTGGGCGGCACTGGTGGAGCTGGATGTGCAGACCCATGGCCGCCCGACCTCTGTCAGCTGGGGCGGGGGCACGGCCAGGAATGGCCAGAATGGTGTTAAAAGCAGGAGATTTGTGCACGAGACAGTTTCTCTTAGGGGCCACTTCTGTTTCCTGCAGGCTGGGAACAGATCTGATTAGAACATTTCACATTTTGCATCCAACTTGAATTCCAAGAACAATGTTGTCACACTTTGTATTTTAGGAAGATCACGTAACATGAGAGCGCGCTCACTAGGCCGGGAGCCACAGTTCAGCTCTCCACGGAGGAAGACGGGCGGGGGGTGCCTCGGAAGGGAGCAGTGCGAGGCCAGGAGCAGGCTGAGCTGAGGCCACGAGGGAGCTGGCCTCCAGGAAGGCCAGGCCGCTGCTCACTGTACCCCCCCCCCCCCCCCGGCACTGACCCTCTGCCACCCCACCTCCCAGACAGACACTGATTTATGCAGAAAAACACGACCATCGGGAGAGCAGAAGCAGGGTGTGTTCGCGGTTAGCCATCTCACAAGCATCTCCGTCGAAGCAGAACGTTTCTCCTCTAAAACCGCACGCACCTCCCACGCCCCGAGCCTGGTTCCCCACGCCACCCTGTGTCTCCAGGGACCATTTTCCTCTCAAACCTCTAGGTTCCTTCCAAAGCCTTCGCTTCGCCCGCCCCTCCCTCCTAGTCCTCTTCCTGGAAAAGGGTTCTCATGCCGCATCCTCATTGATTTCCTTCTTCATCACTTACAGTCTGATGCCATAGGGGGACCGAGTCCCTGGTGGACAGGAGCAAGCATGCCTGGATGTGCCTCAGAGTCCTCCACAGGGCTGTGCGGCAGGACATTCCTCTCAGACTCCCGCTGATGGCAGGAGCTGCCACTCACACAGCCCTCACCCAGCTGTGCCGCCTCCCCCGAGGGCTGTGTCCCCCTCTGACAGCTGTGTCTCCCCTCCCCCTGATGGCTGTGTCCCTCTCCCCCCATAGCTGTGTCCCCCTCCCCCTCCCTCCAAGGGCTGTGTCCCTCTGAAGAATGGGCCCTTCCCTGGTAAGCTATCGCCAACACAGTGGTCCGTCCATATCGCTAACACACGGAGAGCCACGTACCAGCAGTCAGTGTCACTGTTGAATTGACATTTAACTGTCAGCCAAAAACCTTCTATCATGATGTTTTTGCCTTTCTTCTTTTTTTTACACTTAGAACTAGAGGCCCAGCGCATGATTAAATCGAGTACATGTAGGGTCCCATAGGCCTACCTGCCATCAGGTCCATGTCTGCCGCCCCGCGACGCCTCACAAACTCCGCAGACGCTGCCGGCACCCCGTGATGCTCCAGAAGTCCCACCCACCGTGGCCGCTGCGGGACCCACAATGCACCTCCTGGTGAGTCCGGTAGTTGGTCGTGAGGCTGTGTCCCCCTTTGGCCTTTTATGATAGAGATTGAGTTGGGTTTTCAGGTCCACAGATAACACTTCGCCTTTATCCCCCTTAAACTAACTTTCCTAATTTGATCCCATCCCTAGATCCAGTCACTCAATATAATTTGATTTCTGGATCTGGAATCTCCCAGCTGGTCACACACAGAGCTGACAGCGTTGCCTTTTAAAATTAGGATGTTGGATGGGCCAAGGACAAAGTCTGCAGGTGCCACAGGCTTCCTCCCAACTCAGCAAAGCTCAGTGGTCACCACTGTTTAGGCACAACCGTCCAACACTAATGATTGTGACTGAGGCGGTTAAAGTGCGGACATATTATTATTCATCATCAAAGAATGTGGGAGCTATAAGTGTAACCAAAACAATCTCTATTTCCAGGTCAGTTTTGAAAGCATTGGCTTGTTTGTGTGTGTGTGTGTTGTTTTGTTTTCATTTAAAATGTATATTTTGATGTCAGCACATTATTTTGACAATGAGGGTATTAAATATTAAAGGGCCCTTCTCCTCTCACATAGAAACAGAAGCACTGCTCAAGCTCTGCCTGTGACACCCTTGTAGAAAGAATCCCCAAATTCAACATTGGAAAACAAACAAATCTTGGAAAATTAAAGATTAAACAGAAAACAACCCTAAAACCTTAAGTAATATTTTAGAGAGATTTGTGTGTGTGTATCTTTAAAACTAGAAATTACTATGCAATAGACACACCTGTGAATCTGGGAAAGTTCTGAACTATGACCCTCAAGGTAACAACCCCAAAACTTCATTCTTGACAGCTGTCCCACTTCCCCTTGGACGCCCGACCCCGCAACCCGGCGTCTGCCCAGGTGGCAGCCCAAGGCCACCTGCCTCCATCGGCTTGATTCCTCCTGAGGACATTCAGAGGCCTGAGCTGGGACCTCCAGGCCTTTCCGCTGGGTCTCAGAGTCCCCGCTAGTGACAGTGCCCCCCACCCCCCTCTCCGCCCAGACCAGTGCCCCCCACACTGCCCCAAGGCTGTTGCTGTGGCTGCGGGCTGAGCTCACTAAGAAAGGCTGGGCTGGCAGGATGGCCACACCCTCTTTCCCACCTCTGCCCTCAGTAGATGGTGTGTTGAGTGTTTCCTTCCCACGACCCGCGTGGGTCAGGGTTCAGGAACTGGAAGCAGAGCCGCACACAAATGAATATGAAAAGACAAGAGATAATTTGGAAATATTGGGGGACCAGGCGGGCAAGTCCAACTCAAGGGGAAGGACTTCCTCCCGTGCTCAGACCTCACCAAGCTTTTATTGATCTGGGATGCACCCATAGCATAGCCCTTAGGCAAGTGACCCCCTGCAACAGGCAGACTAGCCCATCAGCAAGGATTTACATAATAATAAATGGGGGAGTAGTTTCAGCTACCACTGCCTGGACAAACAGAGGTGGCGCCTAGCTCCAGCCTTTGCTAGGGCTTCAAAGGCACCCAGCCTTCAGGGGGTTCTCTGTCTATGTTTATCAGATAGTGAAGGCAATAAACAGTTTCCCACAATGGTGCACAGTTTAAAGAGACAAGAAAACAAAGTTGGGAAGTGAACCATCTGCAGTTTGGGGGACAGAGCCGTGCAAACATAGGAGAGGGAGCTCCCCCAGCCTCCCGAGAAGGTTAAAGGACTCAGAATTCTCCATCTTTCACTCCCAGGAGCGCTAACAGATTCCGAATCTTAGGCTTCTGTGGGCAAGAATCTGACCAGTCCTGGAGGGAGGGGGGTAAGGGGGGGTGGCCCACATGTCCAAGCTCCAAGGGACAGGGCCGGGCTGGGGAGATGTTTTCGTGCTGATTTCTTTTACAATCAGAAGGAAAACGTGACTGTACCAGCAACAAATACAGCTAGTGCGCAACTAGTCTTTCTAGGAATGTAGCCATAAAACATCCTATTTTCTATTTTGCTTGGCGGGCAGGAACCTACACAAGTCCCGGTCATAGGGAAGCTCTCCTGGGTGGCAGGGCCTGAGCCAGCCGGTGCGGCCTCCCAGGTGCCCCGGGCGGGCAGGTGTGGATGGCCTTCGGGAAGGACGGAGCCCACAGCACAGCTGCAGCAGAAAGCGGCCAGTCAGACAGCAGGCTGAGGGCAGGCTCAGGAGAAGAAAAGAGAGCTCTCCCCGCCCACCTGCCAGCGGGACTCAGAGAAAACACTGGTTCAGACTTCCCACCAACCCCTTCAGGCCAGGCTGAGCCAGATTTAATTAGACACAGAGATGTATCTCCTTCCTGGTGCTGTAAGCAAAACACTCCTGTTACCAGGACCAGACGAGTTTAGGAGTAAGCACAATTCCTGGGGAGCACATTGTTATGCCCAGATTTCAAGATCCCCAAAGAACCACCAGGGAGCGCAGAGTCCGATGCAAAAGCATAGAGCCTTTATTCAAGCTCAGCTCAGTCCCTCTGCCTCCATTACTGGTGCAGCAGCAGGATGCAAGAGAGCCCCGAGTCTTGAAAGAACAAAGACTTTATAGGGCTTGGGTGGGGGTTGGGGGGGTGAGGGCCCACTCGGACTACTGATTTGGCCGATTCCGGTCGGTTGAGTGAGGGCCAGGGGCTAGTGACGCAAGGGCAGGGTGCGGCTAGGGTCTGGTTAGACAAAGACAGGGGGGTGGTCAGCATACTTTTGGCCTTGGGTTTGTTTTCCTTGCATTCCCATTGGCTGAGATAAGGGCAGGCTGAGTAACTGATACATTCTGTGGCTTTTTCTTGGAAGAGGAGTTAGGGACACAGCTATCAGTCCCGTTCTGTCCTTTCAACGTATGCTCTGCTGAAGGCCCTTGGTGACTGCCCTGCCCTGGAAGCACCTCCCTCCAGCTCACAGCCCCACCTGGGAGCACCTCCCTCCAGCTCACAGCCCTTCCTTGGAGCAACTCCCTCCAGGTCACAGCTCCTCCAGGGAGCACCTCCCTCCAGGTCACAGCTCCTCCAGGGAGCACCTCCCTCCAGGTCACGGCTTCTCCTGGGAGCACCTTCCTCCGTGGAGCTGCACTTGGAGCAAAGCCAGCTGTGTGTTCAGAACCTGCAGTAGAGGCTAACGGGTCCAGCACCCAAAACACTACCCATTGAGCATGTTCACCTGAAGGCCTTTGAGAAACAGAGAGCAGGACAGTGCCCCCATCACCTTCTTCCCACAAACAGGTCACAGAACCCGTGTGGCAGGTGCTCTGCCTGCACTGGGAGGACACCTGGAGCCGAGACATCTGTATCCACAAATCCTCATGGTAGGCAACCCCTCTCAGCCAATAGTGATATTGCTGTATTAAGAACTTAACAATTAAAGTTTTCTTTAAACCTGAAGGATATTTACTATTGCTATCAGAACTATAATTAAAAATAAAATCTCTCCCAAACCCAGAGCTTCTCTCCTCAAAGGCAGCAGAGGAAACCTGAGTCACTGCATAAGCGTTAAGCCACATGGTGTGCACCAAGGCAGTTCTCAGTCGGAAATGTGCTCAGGAAGCCTGCAGACACCCCGCTATCCAGGCAAACAGCCGCCGATCCGCCCATCCGAGGCCTGGACGGCACCGTTTGTCACCCAGTCCATCCTAGACTCACCCGGCCACTGGAGCACCTCCAAGGAGCACCTCTCTCCAGGTCACGGCTCACCCGGGTGAGTCTGTGTGAGCCAATTCACTTTATCCAAAGGAAAATAAAATCGTGTCTTCAGGAGCCAGGCAGCCCCCACCGGGCTGGGCCAGACCCTCTGCAGACATGGAGACGGGCTGTCTTCCTCAGTGACTGCGTTTCCAAGGGGCCCCAGGCCCCTGAGAAAGACCCAGCTGGGTTGCAGGCTGAGCAAGGGAAATACTTGTGTGCATCCCAATAAGTGTGGCGGCGCTTAACATCAACAATTCCCAACATCAGGGTTCTGAGTGGAAATGAGGGAGTGAAACATCCTCACTGGAGAGAAGGAGGCCACCAGTTTTGTTTGCATCTGTCCTTACACTGACTACACCAAACTGGGCATTTTGAAACCCTGGAAATTGGGCTCCTGGTTCCACAATGTACACACAACTTTTCCTTCATATAATATCATTCAGAAATTACCTTCTCATGCTGAGTAAAACAGTGTTCTCCCAAACAAACAATGAAAAGGAAGATCCTTGCAAATTCTACAAAGAGCTACAAATGACATGAACAGGTCTCACAAGAGAATCTGTGTGTGAAATGGAGGGAATTAATTTGCCTGGGCTGGTAGGCAATCCCTCTCAGCTGTGACACTGAGCACTGAGTTCAGTGTGAAGGAGAATGGGGCATGATGGCTGAGGCCACAGAGAGGGATGGGAGGAGAGTGAAGAGATGAATGAAGTCTAGAACCAGAGTGCATTCTAGAAAGAAGTTTAATCTTATTCTAAACATGAAGGGAAATAGCCAAAGAGTTCTAAGGAGTAACTTATGCCACTGACGGTGGTTGTGTGGGAGGCAGGGAGCCAGAAGGGGGCTCCACTGGAGGCCGGACAGCATGGGTGGTTTAGACAGACACCAGAGCAGATTCCACATGCACTGCAGGCTTAGAGCCAGCACAGTGTGGTCACGGGAGGACTAAGAACTACTTCTAGGTTTGGGCCTGACTAATTTAGTGGATGGAAAAGAGAGTAAGTTTTGGTTTGGTTTGGGTTGGGTTGGGTTGGTTTGAGATGGGTTGGTTTGGGTTGTTGAGTTGTTTGGTTTGGTTTGGGTTGGATTGGGTTGGTTGTTTTGGGTTGGTTGGTTTGGGTTAGTTTGGGTTGGGTTGGTTGGGTTGGGTTAGTTTGGGTTGGGTAGGGTTGGTTGGTTTGGGCTAGTTTAGGTTGGGTTGGTTGCTTTAGGCTGGTTTGTTTTGGGTGGGTTGGGTTGGGTTGGGATGGGTTGGGTTGGTTGGGTTGGGTTAGTTTAGGTTGGGTTGGTTGTTTTAGGTTGGCTTGATTTGGGTTGGTTGATGTGGGTTGGGTTGGGTTGGGTTGGGATGGGTTGGGTGGGTTTGGGTTAGTTTGGGTTGGGTTGGTTTGGGTTGGGTTGTTTGGGTTGGGTTGGGTTGGGTTGATGCTGGGTTGGGTTGTTTGGTTTGGGTTGGGTTGGGATGGGTTGGGTTGGTTCGTGATGGGTTGGTTTGGGTTGGTTGGTTTGGGTTGGATTGGGTTGATGCTGGGTTGGGTTGGGTTGTTTGGTTTGGGTTGGGTTGGGATGGGTTGGGTTGGTTCATGCTGGGTTGGGTTGGGTTGTTTGGTTTGGGTTGGGTTGGGATGGGTTGGGTTGGTTCGTGATGGGTTGGGTTGGGTTGGTTGGTTTGGGTTGGGTTGGAATGGGTTGGGTTGATGCTGGGTTTCGGGGTGGAACAGAGACCTATATAGCACATTGGAGAAGTCTGTGGACCCCAGTTGGAGACATCAGACAGGAGGTTCCTGGAGATTCCGCAAGAGTACCAGCCAGAGACAGACAAGGGTCGTGAGCGGAATGATTTCTGAACCTGTCAACAGCGATGCAGCCATGAGCACCTTCAAGTTCTTGCCGTTGCCCTGTCCAGTGCTTTTGCAAGGACCACTAGCTCTGAGCATGTGCTGTCATTATCCCACACAGAGATGAGGAAACAGTGAGGAGTCACGGGGATAGGACCTTCCTAGGGGACCAGCTACCAGTTGAGTCTCTGCTGAGTCATCAGCAATGCTGCAAC